TCGAAAACTGCCGTCGATAATGCAGGAAAAACATTATCATGTATTTAGTAAAATTTCGGGTATATGATTATGTCAATAATAAAGGAGGTCGCTACTCGGCGAATATAAAAGTCGGTGCAAACGCTAAAGCGAAGAGAAGTACTCAAGTAGCTCCGAAAATAAAAAGGAAAAGAGAAGACAGTGTATAAGACGACTTGGCGATAAAATACTCCATAAGAAAAGGACTCAGAACATTGTTCGACTTATGGTGAGAACATTGGCATTGTGCGAAGTTCGCGAAATTAATCGATAATTTATTTCGGCTATCGGCTCTTTATTTTATTGTTATTATTTCCTGTTTTTTCACTACTGTTAATTTTGAACTTTTATTAAACATTAAATTTTATTCATCCTGATACCGGTGTGGCTTTATTTGAGAACCTTACAACTTTATTCTTATTTTATACAATACATTAACGTGAAAAATCATATTCTGCAGATACATAATGTTAAAATATTTTATCAATATAAATATGATATATGTTTTATAAAAAACTGTAAATCTCAGAAAAAATATCACGTCGAGCGAAAGCAACACGCCGCTAGTCGATTTAGTCACGTGGAGCGAAATTCGGGAAAGCACTTTCGCTGCCAACGCTTGACAGAAGAAATCGTGCGAGCCTCAAAACCGGTTTGATGCTACGCTTGGTGGACAGGAGATACAAAACATAGGTTCGCTCACTTCTACTAGAGCACTAAAGATGTAGATATTCTACCGTCTGCTCAGGTCTCCGCCATTTTTGTTCTATTCCCCCACTCCTTGCCCTCTTGCCTCTGTCGCTGAGCTGACAAGTTTATGATGATTAGATTATGGTTTCTAAGCTGCTCGAACTCTGTGTTTGCGTGTATTTTGATTATTCGACTGTGAACAAAAAAAAGATAAATGCCTTGCTGCGTTGCGGTCAATTGTACCAATAGAACAGAAAAAGGTGTTCGAGTATTTGCATTTCCTGCGGATGATGTTCGTCGACAGAAATGGATACGTAATCTCCGCAGAGAGTCTTGGACACCAATCAAATCATCGCGCCTCTGTGAAGTAAGTTTATTCTCTTAAATTTCCAATTTACGTAGTTTTTTCTGTTTGTTTAGCATCATGGATCCTTTTTTTAAGTGTGGTTTAGATTTGTCATCGTTTGAAATTACATAAATATGAATAACTGTAATCAAGAAGGACATTTATCTTATAAGCAGTTTTTTTATTTCAGAAACATTTTGAAGAATCACAGTTTGAGACTGGTCAAGCAGATAATTGGCGAAAATGAAAACCAAACGCCATACCAACACTTTTCGATATACCTGATCCATCTGCAATGAATAAAAATGAAACAGATGAACCAAATACAAATGCCTGCTGA